AGTAACAGTGTTCAGACCTAACAATCTCTGATTTTTATTTTCAATCTTATATTATTCAATTAATTAATGGTGAAGCCTGATGTTTTTATTTCTTTGTACTGCTTCAATTTGTTTCATGACTTTTAACTTTACAATAAATATGCAGAGATGTTTCTACACATTTATGTTTCACAGTAGAGTTGGTCATTACATTATAAAGTATAGTAAAGGAAAAAATAAGTCAGTCATATGCCAATAACTGAAGCACCTGTTCAGGGATTCCAAGGTTCTAACTTTCTCTTGGCCACTCTAGAGCCAAGATGCACAATGAATAAATATAAGCCCATCTCTATTTATAGGTCCTGCCATTTATTCACAACTCAACCATAGTAGTGGCAAGCTATGAAATTCTCTTCAATGATACAGTATACCTTTAGGTTGAAAAAAAATTTCTGGATTAAATTGAAAATGTTTATATGTAAAATCTTAAAATAAATATCTTTATAAATTTAAAAAATCAGCATTGGTAGGCTAAGGAGTGAGTACAAATAGCATTTAAATCTATGAAAGTGGGTAAAATCATTCTGAGAGTATGTGCAATAAAGAAACAGAGCCCTGGCCAGGTGGCTTGGTTGGTTGGAGTGTTGTTCCATACAAAACGATGCAGGTTGGATTCCAGGTCAGGCTTCAAGTTCAATGCCCAGTAGAGGGGTGTATAGGAGGCAACTACTCAATGTTTCTCTCACATTGATATATTTTCCTCTTTCACTCTCTCCCTTCCTTTCTCTCTAAAACCAATAAAAACATATCCTTGGGTGAGTATTAAAATAAAAAGAAACAAAGAGCACTGGGGACCTAGACCTAGACTTAAGAAATGTCACTTTTAGGAGGTGAATAGAAAAGTTGGAGCCAGCAAAAGAACCTCGGAAAGAGTTGCCTGTTAGGTAAGAAGAAATTAAATATAGTTTCCATTAAGGTCACAATTTTGAGTGAGATGGGTGATATACAGGATGTAAAAGGGTGGTTCTCATCATTATGGGAAGTACGTGGCATAAATTAAAAGGGGAAGAGGTCTGCCTGGAGAGGCAGCAGAACAGAGAACTAAGGGACAGAAAGCTAGAGTTAAATGTCCAGCTCTGATTCTTAATATATGTCATTGGATAGGACACATGACTTTGCTCTGAGCTTCTGTCTTCTCTGTAAAAGGAGAGATGATGATACCTGTTTCAATGGGCTATTGTACAAATTTATCAAATTAATGCTTTTGAATACATATTGTAAATAAAAAACATTACACAAACATGAGGCACTTGCCATGGTTCTTTGCGTAGAACTTGCATTCCTCTAGGACACAGGCCCACCCCACCCACTTTTCTCTTACTAGTCTTCTGCCTGAATTCTGACCTCCCTGATGGTACCTACCTGCTTTCTGTGACCTTTTTCTGTTGCCCAATAGCTAGCCCATTAGTACAAATTTTTCACTGCCAGAGCTTTATACCATCCCAGTGGCTGGGTTCTTGCCTAATCATGTACCTTCTTCCTCTCTTTCTTGCCCACCCACCACCCATGAGCCAAAGTTACAATATGCTCCAAAGTGTTGTTACAGAGCCAATTCCAGAGCTAACTACTGAGATTCAGAATACAAACTGAACATTCATACCTAGTTTATTCAATAACAAAGATTTCTCCAAGTTCGAGACTAAAGTACCTCGTGTCTTAGAAGACACGAGGTACTTGTATCATATATATATGTATATGTATCATATATAAATATATACATATATATATATGTATCATATATATATATATATATACACACACACACACTCATCAATTTCCTTCACCTTATAAATTCTTGGCTTACATAAATAATAAAGGCCTTTGTTCATTTAAAAAGTCGTTTAAATTGTTTATGCCTTTGTTGACAGTATCTGGAATTTGTTTAAAAGTCTTCTCTAATTGGGTAAGATATCCACACAATTTATTTGAAGATTCTTTAATCAAGTTGTTTTCACTGAAAATAAGTATGGCTTCAAAATTACCAAAATGTCTATATAAATTGCTACTTGCTTTGTCAATTCCTTGGGGGAAAAATTCAGCCAACCACTTGTTGATATGGGTCTAAAACCAATTCATTATTGGATTCACTGATACTTTAATTATTTAATTATTAATTATGTGCTCTCTTGAGGATGCTTATGCTTATTTCAAAGTTTTGTTAACCTAGATTAGAAAAAATAATAGACAGGGCCTGCTTAAGGCAAAGATAAAGCTTTTACTAAAAAAGTTATACGCAGACCTGGCTGGTGTGGCTCAGTAGATTGAGCACCTGTCTGTCAACCAAAGGGTTGCGGTTTGATTCCCAGTCAGGGCACATGCCTGGGTTGTGGGCCAGGCCCCAGCAGCGAGCACTTGAGAGGTAACCACACACTGATGTTTTTCTCCCTCTCTTTCTCCTTCCCTTCCCCTCTCTCTAAAAATAAATAAAATCTAAAGAAAGAGAGACAGAAAGAGAGAGAAAGAAAGAAAAAAAGTTATATGCCTGGGGAGTGACTACCCACTATGACCTGCCCAACAAGGAATTTGTGAACATATCAACCTGTGAGGTTATACTCTCCATAAAACCACTTCTCATCCATATAATGAAATTCTACAAAGTGTTTTTGAACCATTAATTGATAACATCACATTTGAGTATACCTCACTTTTTTCCCTCATTTTTCTGTTATCTATTTTACAAAAGATGGTTTCAACCTTCTCTGATGACCATAGAGTGATAAACCTTTTGCATACTATATTAAGAGCATTCTATTATATATTTTGTGTTGTATAGCTGGTTTTAGAGTCCAACTGAAAATTTAGAACACCAAAGGGAGGAAAAGAAACCACTCCACTGAAGTACATTCCATAATTTGTTATACCAATAATATGAAAAAAAATCTTTTTTTTAAACCTTTTCCCTTTACCTGGTGTGAGCATCTGAGAGATACCACTCAATGGCATGGTAGGGGTAAGCCAATGATTCTCAAATTCAAGTACACATCTGAATTACACAGAAAATTGGTTAAAGTTCAGATTTCTGGACCAAACTTCAGAATTTGTGATTCTATAGGTCTGGTGTAGGAGCCTAAAATTTTGTATTTCTAACAAATGACCAGATTATGGTGATGCTGCTGGTCTAGGAATCACCCTTCGAGAATGGCTAGGGTAGTTGCTAGAAGAAAAGCTTGCTACAACTAGATTCAATATCAGCCACATTCTTGGTTGAAATAGTCTTATAGAAAAAATTATAAATGGTTGGGAGAACAAGAATTAGAAGATTCTACAAAGCATATTATGTAACTAGGTTGCCTTATTATTCTTAGGCTTTTTTTCTTTACGCTTCTTCAAGAATTAGCTTGTTTTACTTTTTAATAACTAAAATTCTGGGAGTGGAGGGGAATCTCTGTTATTTTTTCCTCAGCAAGAATCATTTCCATATCTTCCCTGTCCTTCAGTGCTTCAAGCCGGTCACTTTTCTTTACTCATTCATTACTCACTTAACTATAAAATGGATGCAACAGTGCATATCTCAGTGAACTGCAGTGAGCATTAAAAGAGACTCTAAATGGATAACGCTTAGCACCAAAATGGTAAATGGTTGCTGCTGTGTTTTTACTAAATTATCTACTCCTTCAAGAGAATGGGATCAGTGACTGAAACTATATAACATATCTAACACATTAACTGACCACAGAAATAGGCCTAAATGTTCTAGGTATTCTGCTTACTGTGGCAGGATACTGTTTAATTTTGGAAATTTTGGCACGGAGCCCCAGAACAGTTTCTCCCAAATACACAAAATTATAAAGAAGAACCACATGGAGCATTACTTAAAATACAACCATCTCCAGGGGTGAGGCCTAGGAATCTTTTAAATAATTACCCCCAATTATTTTTCTGATTAGTGAATTTGGGAAACACTGAAGGGACCTCTCGTTCCATTCTTAATGATTGGCTAACATATGCCCTAAACATCACTTATTTATTCATTGCGCTACTGGTTACTAGAAAATATCAGAATTTCTTTCTGTTTTAGCAATTACGTCCTTTGGAGTTGAACTAAAGTCACTTAGAGAGAGGTAAGGTGGAAGGGGCGGGGAAGAGCCCGGTTGTTGCTTTCTAAAGGTTCTAAGTGTTTCAACTCACCCTTTCAAATTAGAGGGGTCCTGTGCCTCATTTATGAATTGCCTGCCTAATACTACCTCCCCCGTCTTGAACTTCCTCTCGAACATGTCCTCCTTTCTGATTTCTGCCTCAAGTCTAACTTGTTTGTCCCTTACTCCATTTGTTGAGTACAACATGTGGTACTTTCCCAGTCCACGCCGCTTTGCTGGAACAGTCAATTTCCAGGGATTTTACAGGCTGGCCAAAACAGTTTGTTCAGAACGGAGACACCGGGGCCGAGAAGTAGCAGCTCCACCCGTGACCTTGAGCGAGTGGCTCCAGCCCAGCTCCTTACCCGCGCTGCGTCAGGGTAAAGCTCAAACTGGACTTTGGAACTGAAAGCAGTTGGGAGTGAATGGGGCGGGGTATAGGCTTAATAAACAAGCAAAAAGAACCTCTCAAAGCTAGAAATCAGTTTTTTCCTCTTCTCTAGACGAATCCCCCTAATTATTGAAGGGTGGGGGACGGATGGTTGGGAAGTGAGGAGGAAAGGGCCAATAAAAAAGCGTGAGAACTCCGATGGCAAAAAGCAGGCTTCAGTGAGGAAATAGGAAGGAGGGAGGCTGAGTGCGAACAATCCGGTTAAAAATAGAACCTCATCCTCCGCACGATTCGCCCTTTCCAGCTCCACCCTGGGGCCGCAGCCAGGCCAGTGACTTGGCTACGCGCGACAGCAACGCGGTCACGCTCCGCCCCTCCTCCGGCGACTGGGGTCGGGGGCGGGACTTCGGGTTGGCTACGTCACCACGCACCCCCACCACCATCGGGGTTTTCGCTGACGCACAGACCCCGCCCCTTCTCTCCTTCCTTTTCTCACTGCCGGAGCGCGGGGCGGGGAGGAAGCGTCAGTCGGCCGGATCGGGGTTCTATCTGCATCTCTTCTCCGGGCTCTTCGCTTGCTCCCGGGAGCTACAGGCCTCAACGGCAGTAGCACAAGTCACTGAGAGCGCCACCAGCGAGCCCTCGTGGTCCCGTTCCCCCTGCGCGCGCGCCGCTAGCCTTCGTAATCGGCTGTACCCGCCGCCGGTGGATGCGTGAGGCGACGACGGGCGAGCGCCGCGAGCCGCGTTAGCAGCCGCGGCCTCCGGTCCTTTCTCCGCCTCTCCCTCTCTTCCCCACCCCCCTCCGCTTCCCTCCTCCCACTTCCCAAGCTCCGGCGAGTCCCGGCCACGCTCGGTGCTACTGCAAGAACAAAAGGACCCCGCGGCGGCGGCAGCGCCACCTCCGCCTGCGGCGCCTACTGGCTCCGGGCCGGTGGCGGCGGCTTCCGGGCGTTCGGCTCGCCCAACTCGGAGGCTTCGGCCCGGCCCCACCGCTCCAGCGTCGCGCGCCAGCCGGGCTCTTGCACTCGGGCTCACGCAGGGTGAGTGGTGGGGAGCTGGGGGGAGGGCGCCCGGCCTCTCGTGCCAGGTAAGGGAGCCGGAGGGGGGCTTGGGGGGCCGGAACGCTACCGAACTCCGATTAGGCCCGAGTCGGTCCAGGATGGTGGTGTCCGGGGGAAGGGGAGCCCGCCCGTCAGCTCCAGAAGCACAAAGACGGAGGCGTCATCTGTCGTCGTGGCCGGAGGGCTCGACTCTCCGCGCCCGCGGCTCACTCGCACTCGCTCGGCCTGGAACAATACCCGCGTGCGTCCTCCGGGGGTTGGGGCCCCGGGCCTCCCTCGCGAGAGTCCCGGGCGCCCAAGGCTGCGGCGCCCGCTGTGGGCAGCCGGACCCGAAGAGACAAAGAGGCGGCCGCGCCCCCGGCCCCGCTCGCCGCCGACCCCCGCTCGCCGCCGCCGCCTCGAGGGAGCGGTTCCAGCCAGGGGTCGGTGCGGGGCCCGTAGGGCGGGGGGGCGGCCTGTCCTGCGGAGCTGCTGTTCTGCATGACTCAGTAGTTTTTGAAGAAGGCCCTGTCGGGCTTTCGTGAGCGAGGCCTGTGCTAGGAGGGGGGTGGGGGGCCGGTGGGACCTGAACTTCTAAAATTCTCTGGAACGTGCCTGAGGGGGGCTTCTCTGTACATGTTTAGTTTTCTCAGCGCCTTTGCGTCTTCGCCCCATATCTCTTTCATGAGGGAAATGAAGTACCTTCCCCTTTGTTTCATGCATTTAGGCTGAACTGAAATTCTGTGCTTCCTTTCCAAGCTTTCCGTGAAGCTGTGCTTTGGAGAAGGTCCGGGTTTTTATCTTTATTGTTGAATGTCCCCCTGAGAATAAGGGCGTACAAGTGTAAAGTAATACACAGGTCGTAGCCCGTTTCTATATCAAGCATTCAAGTAATTTACAGCCTTAAAAATTGCAAATTTCATTTTAAACTTGTTTTTAAACAAGATTTCAGGATTGAATTAGAAAAATACTGCAGTTTTTTATCTCTCAAGTTTTTAAAGAAATTTCTTAAAAGAGATTTATTGTAGTTTTCCCCTATTTTCTGTGTCTCAGGCCCGATATTAAGCCTGGAAAGTAGTCTTTTAAAATCACACTAATCTGCATTTGGCAAGGAGGAAACTCATACGGAGAGTGAGGACTTGCCCAAGGTCACTGGCCTAGTCCAGAGGTAGATTAGAGGCTGGGATTCAGGTATTAAGTCCAGGTGAGTGGGCATTCTTAACCTCTCGTAACATGTGCACCTAAAAGAACTGAATTCCATAGGTTTTAAAAACCTTCCTTTTAGTTGTTTTTGAGGTTAGCGAGTTGTTCGGGTTTTTGGTATGTTTGGGGCTTGGTTTGTTTCTTTTAGTTGTGGATTACAGGAAGCCAAAACTATGAAAATAAACATTTCACCTTTACATGATAGACCAAACACATGAAAGCTCAAGTTTCTATCAACTTTAAAGATACTGTTAATGGTAACTATATTTTTCTAAAACACAGCCAAGTAGGAGAGAACCATAGTACCTAATGTCAGGCTTTCCCCACTCCCCCCTCAAAAAAAAAAATAAATTGCCCCTGGACATGAGGGGTTTTGCTCCCTTGATTCTCTGGACTATGCCTGTTTATACAAACAACCCCGACCATTTTGGCTTCCTGAGTGATTAATGGTGCTTGCATCTTCTAGATTGAATTTGAGATTGTTATCTAATTCTCTACATTAGGGAAAACTATAGCAGACTTAGTGGCATCTTTTTGTTTTGTTTTCTTATGTTAGATGTATGAATGCTGCATCCCTAGTTTTTGGGGTTGTGTAGGAGTTGTCAGGCTCTGGGATATAAATAGAAGCTGATTTCAGAGGCCCCTGTTGACTAGGCTTTATGTGAGAGCCTCCATCCAGCTCAGCCTGTCACATTGCAGCCTTGTGACAGGCTGAAGCGCCTGCCCATGTGATCTAAGCTTCTGAGAAGAAATATTAAGGCAAGCTGTGCACATGTGATGGCATTTAAAAGCTGGCTTTCTGGGTGGGGGTGGGGGGGTGGACAAACAACAAGATGAGAAGCCAGGTAGAAGACTAAACGTCGTGGTGTCTCTTAAGTGGAAGATTATTTATAGTGAATTGAAGGTAGATGTGTTTTCTGAAGAAGGAAAGGTAGAAGGAGTACTTTCCGTGTTGGTGTGGATGAAATCCTTGGATGGGATTTCCCCCCCCATTGTGTTTACATAAAAGATTTGAAGATTCAGATTAACAAGTATTATGTTGCTTGGGTCAAATTTAGGCCATTTTGCTGTTAAAGCCACTGTCCTATGACTGAAAGTATAGAAAGGGTGAGCGTAATTCTTAAGCTGAGTTCAAAAAATGGCCCAAATTTTTGTTTAGGGTAAAGATTCACACAACTTTCCATAGCGGGCATGTAAATAAATAGTTTATTATTTGAAGCATTATTTGGACATATTATGTTCTAATTTTTTAAAACCGAGCTGAAAGTGTTTATTAATAAACTTCCTAAGTGATGTTGAAATGTTTACACTACTCTGCTCCAAAATGAGTCAGCTAAATTCCACTTACTATTTAAAGAGACAGTGTCAACTAAATTAGTACTATTGTTTGAAGCTGTGGATCTTGGTCACTCTCCATACAAGTTTGATTTGTTTGAAATATTTTTCAAGCTTGAAAACTGGCCTTTTGCTAGCAAAAGTAGAAGTTACTGTTATTTGAGAATAGTTATCATCCTTCTGCCAGGTCAGAATTGGTTAGTCTTCTTCCATCCTTTTAAAAAGTAAATTTGTTAATAAAAATTGCTAATAATTATTGAAACATTATTTTAAATAACTCACTAAAGAATGTATTCTAGAAGTGGTAATTGGAAAAAGCCATATAGAATTCTAGAAGATAAGCTGTAGCTTGAAGTACTTGGCTGCACTTACTTGAAATGTTCATATCTTAATAAATCATAAGTAATTTCTTTTATCAATAGTAAGGTACATTTGAATGACAGGTTAGAGCATGCATTCTTTGATAAAATGTTCTCAAATTTTCTTTTTGTACATTCATAGATATTTTTGTGTTGTGGAAACCTACTTTTTTTAATAGTGTGTATTTTCTCTTTGACTTAGAGGAAAATATACTAAATTTAACAGAAGATAACTATTTGTGCTGATTTTAACAAGATTTGTGGAAAAGCAAGACTATCTTTGCTGTATAAGGATTTTTCTGGTAACTTAGCATTAAATATTAACCATTATTAAACATTGTGTATTTATATTGCTTTACTTTGCTACATTAAAATTTAGCTCGAAAAGGTTTAAATTTTTTGGTATGAGGAAAACAGCCAGTTTTAAGAGAGCCTTTGGCTGAGAAATCTATGGCTAATAATTTGTTGTGTGGTGTGGTGCAGGATTCTAGGTTCTGACTTTAAATTACTCAGCCCCATATTTCACATCTCAAATGTAGAACATAAAAGTGTAAGCAGCTGACCCCCTAAATTTTTAAAGAGCTTCACTGGTTGGTTCCAAGGCAACAGGAAAGGCTAGATGATCTGCCAGCTCTCTTTTCAGTCTTTGTGTGTTGCAATATTCTAAAAGCTGCCCAGTAGCAGAATTATTGAATTACTAGTTGGGCCCAAGTATATTCAGGTGTTAGTTTTAAGAAAGCATAGAGCTACATCTAATATACAGCTAAATTTAAAGAACTGGTAGATCTCAAGAGTCAGTAATTAGGCCCTGACCAAGTAGTATAGTTGGTTTAGTGTTGTCTCAGTACACTAATGTTGTGGGTTCAATTCCTGGTTGGGGCACATACAAGTATCAACCAGTGCCCCTGGCCAGTGTGGCATGATTGGTTGGAGCATTGTCTCCATAACCTAGAGGTTGTGGATTCAATCCCTGGAGCAGACACATAACATTTATTTCCCCATGTTTCTCTCTCTCCCTTCCTCTCTGAAAAGCAATGAAAAACATGCCCTTGGATGAGGATTTTTTTTAATTGCCTAAATAATTGGAACAACAAGTCAGTGTTTCTCTCTAAAAAATAGTCATGGAAATAAATAAGTAGTAATTAAGATTTGTAGCTTTCTTTGACATTTACAGGTTCCATTTAATATATTTTAACCAATGGTCAGGAGATATATCAATTGCCTAAATTGATTTAAATATAATTTTGATAACAGGCAGAGTGACCTTTTCAGAAACTGAAGCAAAAAGCAATAGTGATAAGTAATATAAATACATTTTCATGTTTATTGGTAGTTTCTTTTGTTTGGTTTGGTTTGGTTTGGTCCTAAAGATTGTGAAATCATTATAGGTCATTATTTATCAAGTTAAAAAAATGATTCTCTTCATACCCTTTATTTTTACAAAGGGAGAAAATATTCATAACTTATATTGGCCTACTTTTTAAAATGATTAACACAGTTTGGGCCTTTGTTAGAAATAGGCTTAGTGTTCAGAATAACAAAGGTACATTGGTGACCATTCTACTAATTTAGTGATTTTATTTTGGTTGTATGCTAGTTTCTAAAGTTTTGTTTTTGCTTTCTTTATAGCTGAAAAATATGGCTCAGGAGACTAACCAGACCCCAGGGCCCATGCTGTGTAGTACAGGATGTGGCTTTTATGGGAATCCTAGGACAAATGGAATGTGTTCTGTTTGCTACAAAGAACATCTTCAGAGGCAGCAGAATAGTGGCAGAATGAGCCCAATGGGTAAGTTGTATCCAAGGAAAAACTCAGTTTGAAGAACTGATGAAAAGAAAACATAGAGCCAAGAATGGGGTCTAAGACTGAGAATCAATGCTGAAGGCCCAGAGAGAGAAGACCTGAGAAAAAGCTTGAAATTAAAGCAACAGTCCAAGTACTTGGCATTACTACATCAGGAATGAATATCTACAAGTGTCTTCTAGCTGTTTCATTTTGTTTTTGAGGGTTTGTTTTACACTTGTATTCACTGGATATGACTTTAATAATGTGCTTTTGTTTGGATATTCAAGTGTAGGATTCTGCTGCACAATGAGAATGCTTAAATCACTAACCTAATTAAATGCAAGTATTTGTTACTTATTTAGTCTTGATACTGAGTGTAGTATTGCTTTGTTTCTTACAAGTCATTTTTTTTTAAATAGGGACAGCTAGTGGTTCCAACAGCCCTACCTCAGATTCTGCATCTGTACAAAGAGCAGACGCTAGTTTAAACAACTGTGAAGGTGCTGCTGGCAGCACATCTGAAAAATCAAGGTAAGATTATTTCAGAGTTTTTATAATACAAGGAGGAAACAAAGATAGCTGTGCTATCCGTACTATTATAATTATGAATGTTCATATATAATAAGGGTGTTAATTTATAAGATGCCCTTGGCTTTGCATGTGTTGCACAGTCAGGGATTTCAGTATCTTTTAACATATGATCTTGTAGGTCATTGAGTAAAGATGTGTATTATAACACCCCCAAGGATGCTGTGTTGAGAATGCTGTGCTTTTATTTCCTTATAATTGAGGCTTAGAGACTGTAGGGAGTGAGGCTTTGCAGACTATAGTGTAATGCCACACAAGGCATTTTGGCAAAACTGCCCCCTTTTGCCCTTAAACAGATTACAGACAGCTCAAAATTTCTAGTTTGCTCTAATAAAACAATGCGATTTATACAAATATGCAGCCTTGAATTGATGAGACATTTATCAGATTGCCTACTTTATTCTCAACCATTTTTGCTGAGCATCCAATATCTTTTTAAAATTATTATTTAGCTCCGATTGATCATGTTGGAAATACTATATAATTTAAAGTTGAACTGACAACTTACTATCTCTCAAAGAAGTACCCTTAACATCTTTAAAAATGTTTGCTTGAACTCAAATAGAAATGTACCTGTGGCTGCCTTGCCTGTAACTCAGCAAATGACAGAAATGAGCATTTCAAGAGAGGACAAAATAACTACCCCGAAAACAGAGGTGTCAGAGCCAGGTATGCTTTTTGTTTAATACTAGTTCAGTTCTGGACTTGGTAGTATGAGAAAGGAAGGGTTGGTGGGGGGATTCGTTCCTTCCCATTGAAGGACCAAAGATGGAGAGAGCTGTAAAATACAGACCAAGCAAGAACCAGCTCTCTTTAGAGAGTGTAAAATAGTCCCTTTACTCTCTTCTTTCTTCTCTGCCCACCTCCCACCATCCCCCACACCAATAAATTAGCAAAGATTATAATCTGGAGACAAGAAGTATTAAGATTTAACAAACTTAAAAAGTGGTTTACTGTCATATTTTAAAGGTATCTAAATCATTAGAGAGGGCATTGTTCAAAAATAGAAGAAATTAGATTAAATTTCAAAGCTATGAAGAAAATTTTTAAATCAAAAATAATAATTCCTCAGTCTTGATATTGCTAGTATTATAGAAAATATTCAAGCAAAAGAACATAGTAAACACTAAGACTTTCAGGTTGAAGTGTAGGATCTCATATTTTGTAAAAGTTTAAAACTCAGTATGGGAAAGCATTTTTGGTTTTCATTAGATATAGTGACTGAGTCAGTGCTGAATTTACATAGTGCCAACCACAAGTTTTCTAATGTGCCAGAAGGTTGATTTACTTGAATTACCTGTGCTAGGCCTAGAACAAGGGTCTATGTGTTTTATATTGCACATAGTTTATTTTTGATAGCTTTATTATTTCCTGGTAGTATTGACTGAATACAGTATAAACCTTTATTGTGAGGAAATAGTGTCAATACATATATAATCTGCTTTGGAGGCTTGCTTTTTCTAGCATCACATAATATCACAAGCTTATGTGATAAAATTAAGGTGAAAATGTATAGGTTGGGCAAGTGAATCCATATTTGGTATTTTAAAATCAGTTCCATCCTCCTGCAAAAGCTGACCAAATTGGTGTGTGAGAATTTTTTGGTTTTGAAACAAAATTAGTCTATCCTTGGAATAGTACGCTTTTGGGTTAGATCTGTAGCTAGCCTCCACATTATTATTTTGTAGTATAATTCTATATAGTTCACTGTTTCTTTGCCTTTTTCTATATCATGTTTCTTTTCTTAGTCCCCCTTATTTGTATGTCTTATGAACCACTGCTCAGTTTTAGGCGTGGTCAAGGAAATGGCTACTCCTCTCCTCCCCAAAACTATTCCCGTACCATCAGGAAAAATTATATTAAGATTGTCATAGTAGATTATTAGGAATAAGTAATAGGTGGAATATTTTGTTAGCCTAATAGTCTGTTTAATCTCTAATGAAAATGAGTTACAAATTTGAAGAATTTTCGAGTAAATTGTCATCAAACTAATTTGCCTTGCATTTAGAATTTGGATTTATGTTAACAGTATTGGTGATGGCCTATTTATTCTGGCTGTAATTTTAGCATTGCATATGCTAATTTGCTATCCTTGGGGTTTGGATTAATATTAAAGCTCAGTTTATAGTGCTTCTGGAGTAGTTGAATTTATGGAAGTAGAATTAAATTTGGTATTTTTAAAGTAGTGGTAATACAGACTTTAATCCAATAATGTACAATTTTTGCCTTCATAATTGATCAATTCTGTAGATATCCTGTATAAACTAAAACCTAGCCTTTTTAAGTGAAAAAAATGGACTTTTTAATGTACACCAAAATTACTGTTTTACCTACGAAGTTCTTAAGTCTAAAATCAAGATTTCACAAGTATTAAAGACAGTGCTTGCTAATCTTTCAAAAGGAACTCCAAATTTTCTGCATAAGACAATAAAGCACTTGTTAAATGGCAAAATAATTATGAAATTATAGGATCTGAAGTTAGTGATTAATGATTTGGGGTTTACTTGTCAAAATTTGCTGGTTTTATCTACAGGATTCCCCCCCCCCCCCAAAGTATAAAAACAAAATGGCTTTTGCAGTCAAGAACCTCAGAAGTTGTCAGCTTTATTTACTGAGTAGTAATGACTTTGAACAGACCTGATTAAGATGTTTACATGTAGGCAGTTACAACTTGGAAAAACTGAGCATGTGACCAACATCTCAGATCTTAAAACCTTTTAAAATTGGGATTTTGAAAAAAAAATTGGGATTTTTTTTTTCTCAGTACTAGCTGTTAAGAGTGAGTTGAAAGGAATTGAAACGGTAATTGTATAAAATTTAGAGGAACAAGTAGTAGTATGTTGATTGGCAAGAAATTTTTAGATATGATAATTATGTTATAAAAAAGATCCTGTTTAAGGTACATGTTTTTAAGAAAGGCTTCTTAAACATTTTTTACTAAGATTTTTAAGGTGTTTTTTTTTTAACTTAGATAGTTGGTTAATTTTCAGCCAGTGATCTCTTGACAAATTACTAATTTTTACCCTTACTTTTCAGTTGTCACTCAGCCCAGTTCATCAGTTTCTCAGCCTAGTACTTCTCAAAGTGAAGAAAAAGCTCCTGAGTTACCCAAACCAAAGAAGAACAGGTGTTTTATGTGCAGAAAGAAAGTTGGCCTTACAGGTATTAGAAAATACATTAGACGGAGTATATTTTACAGCTAGGGTTCAATAAGGTGCTCCTGGCGACTTTATAAGGGGCTGGTTGGTCTTATAACAAAATGTCCGACTTTCAAGAATAGAAAGTTTAGTTTGATTTCCATTTGTCTCTAATTACATAAAACCGTTTTATTAATTTTAGATATTATGAGTTACTTTCCTTTATTGGACTGATAAAAATTCATTCATTTTGATTATTTCCTTTGGTCTCCTGGGTAAAAGGTAGCTGAACTGAACAGTAAGCACCTACTTGGAACCAGGCAAAAAAAAAATATTGTAGATACTTTTTGTTTCATTTAAGTCTCACAGCTTTATTGTCATCTTTCCCTAGTTTTCATTTGAAACATTACCCAGTTAACAAATGGTAGGAAGAGGATTTAAATCCACGTTCTGGCTCAAGAGCCTGTGAGGTTAATTTCTACCCTGGGTGATATCTATAGGAGTTTATGGAAGGATAGTTACTTGAATGTATCGTGTCAAAGGTTGTTTAAAAGCTCTTTCACAATTTGAAGTGACAAGACTCAGTCTTTCATGTTGCAAAGAGTCATGGAAACCTGGTTCCCTTTCTATAGTGAGTAAGACTTTTTATTATTATTTTTTCTCCCTTTTAATTGCCACAAGTTCCCAAGTGATTCTGCTTCCTCTTTTGTGTACAGGGTTTGACTGCCGATGTGGAAATTTGTTTTGTGGACTTCACCGTTACTCTGACAAGCACAACTGTCCATATGATTACAAAGCAGAAGCTGCAGCAAAAATCAGAAAAGAGAATCCAGTTGTTGTGGCTGAAAAAATCCAGAGAATATAAATTACTACTTGTGAAGAGACTGAAATTTTGTTTTTATTTTAATATATCGTAGGAAAACATTAAAGAGCAGATGCATGGCCATTTTCCTTTGATGTTCTCCAGAGTTTTACTTTATACTTGTCTGTCTTATTGATATTTTAGGATGTTTGGGTGTTTGTTACAGGCAGAATTGGATAGGTACAGCCCTACAAAATGTATATGCCCTCCCTTAAATAAAATTGGATGGAAATCTGCGCATCAAATTGAGTTACACAGATACTAGGGACAAAATTCAATTCCCATGTGCCAAACAAAATACGTGAAATCTCTGCATGTTTGCAGCATTTCTGCCTTTTGGGAATGTAATCAAGGTATAATCTTTGGCTAGTGTTATGTGCCTGTATTTTTCTTAAAAATGGTACACCAGAAAAGGACTGGCAGTCTACTTCCACCATAATTAAACTTCACCTTGTTAATTTCCACATGTTCTTTGGAAGCTGGAAGAAGGCGATAAAGAGGATCAGACCTTCCCATGAAACCAGTATTTGATGCCATGTGTGAACCTGGCTAATGAGTCTAAAAGCTGTCAAATAAGACATTCTGTGAAAGGTAAATGTCACAACTGGTTGTCATAGTAAAACCATCAAGCAACAGGGTTTGAGCTACAATTGAAGCTTACTGTGCTGGCTGCACCAGAAGATGTCTGCATTACTCATTGCTAGAAACATGTAGCACAGAACTGCACTAGGATAATTTGTTTAAAAGAAGAAATTAAAACTACATTTGGTTTTCATATACAGCAGCTCTATTGAATAACATGCATCTGAATTTTAAGTTGCAAAGGCATCTGAACAGTTAATTTTTCATGTGCATCTTTTGTTGAATGTTTTGGTTCAAGAAAGAATGTTTAAAGCTTTTTTAAAGACTTCAGTTCTTAATGTAACTTTACCCTTCTGCATGGAAAATCATAACCAACATGGCTGCAGTAGACTTAGTGGTATCCAGCACCACTTGCAGAGGGCTGCTTTATCATATTAATTGTACTTGGGTGTAGGACTCTAGTGTTCTTGGGTGTATTGCATGGGCTGCATTATTTACAGCATTGTACAATAACAACTAGAAGAGGCAGTATACTTCACTGATGCTTGTCTGGTAATATCACTTCTGTGTTATAATGGAAGGTTTTCTGTGATGTATGAAACGTGTGTGTTTTTTTTTAATATATAAAAGTATAGATTAGTGTTGTGGTAATGCCTGTTTTCACCTGTAAATAGTTAAGTATGTACACGAGGCACTACTCTGATTTAATGCAGTGTTCAGTCCTAGTTTTTACTTTCATTCTTAAAGCATTCAATTTTGCTTTCAATTTTATGTACCTTAGTTCTGAGTTAGATTTGCAGATGTGTACAGATAGTTCATATTTATGTATTGCACATAATCATGCTATCCAGCATTGATGCTATATTGTATTATGTAAATAATAAAAGCCATGTACAGAGGGAAACTTCCACTTGTTCATTGGGTTTTTAAGCCATAGTTAGAAATTCTACAGAGACATAATTAGAAAATGTTTCATAATCAACTTTTTAGTTACGTGTGTGGATTTTGCATGGCTCTGTTGTACATTTTTCATTGCCAACTGAACATGTGTTCATATGAGAACCATGAGATGAGTTTTGTGAAGTGTCTTCAGTAAGGTAAATAACAGGTGATTGTTTTTTAGGCATTTTTAGGATCTTATCACCTAAGAAAGGAATGAAAATTGAACAGTTATGGTCTGCTTGCCCTTTTTGGTTTTATAGGTGACAATTTAGGCTTGACAGTTGGCATGAAAACAGGCATAGTTTTGATTTACTTTTTTGGGTGTGGCCCTAATGTAGTGATTGGATCCATGGGCTTGGTCTTTGAAGCTTTCGCATGAGATAACAAATAACTGACAAGTTCTGACTTTGCCCACAGAGTAACAAGCCAAGAACAGAATCATGGATGCTCAGTGATGGAGTTTCAAATGGAAGTGTTTATCCTGGGTCACTATGATTTTTCACAGTTCTTTGGGTGTTGATGCATTTGGTTCAAGTGAGGGGAATAGTGTAGAAGTTTATATATGAGATAAAGGTAGTAGTTCCTGAAATATGAAGGGTCACAATTGACTTGGCAATTATGGTTTTAAAAGACTTATTTTCCCTTCTCAGTGCTACCTCTGTCAACATTTACTTGGTACATTTTAAATCTTAAGGTTTTGAAATCTATGTGGGGGATAAAGAAGATACTTGGTAAGATGGTGGACCCGATTTCATTGGTTTATAAAGGTCTTCAAATAAATGCTTCTATAGGCATTTTTTAAAAATGAGAAACATTAAGAACAGATTTGATTTTAAAGGATTTAATTTGTCGGAAGCATCAATAGGGGAAAGCGGAACCAAAGTGTGTAAGGCAGCTAGGAAGACTGCTATATAGACTTGTTTTCAAACCTGAATGTTTACCCGGCAAGACTAAAAAAGGGTTTTCAGTTTGGAATGTTGACTTTATGGAACACTATATGAAGGATTTGAAGCATGTTTTTCAAAGACATCTACGCAGCCTTCAAAAATGTTTGGGGCTATCTCTGACTGTGTGGCTCAATGGGTTGAGCAGCATCCTGCAAACCATACAGTTGATGGTTTGATTTCCAGTCAGGACACATGGCTAGGTTGTGGGCCAGGTCCCTGGTTGGGGGTGTGCAAGAGGCAACAGATTGGTGTTTTTCCTTACATCAATGTTTCTTTCTTCCCTACCCTGTTGAAAAAGTAGGTAAAAGTTTGACTAAGACACATGGTGATATATGATTTGGGGCTTCAGAGGGCTTTATAATCTAAAACTGAGCCTTGGGTTTTAGGATCTAAGGTGGGCTTCCCAGTGAATCAACTTCCAACAGTTTGTGGCATAGTGGTTAAGAAAGTAATGGACCCAGGAACTAGGCTTCATCTGTAAATAAGGAAGGTAACAGTTCCTGGCACATAGTATTCCCTATTAAATTTGTTAAATTTGTTTAGAGCAGTGTAAGGTTAACAGTAAAATTGATAAGGTACAGGGATTATCTGTACACCCCTCCACACTTGTAGAGCTTCCTGTTATTTCCCACAGGACTGGTACACTTAAAATGGGTGAACTCTAACCCATGGTCCATTGTTTATAGTTAACTGTTAGTATTGCTCATTCTATGGGTTTGGACGAATGTATGATGAATGGCATGTAACCATCATTATGATACCATACAGAGTACTTTCACTGCCCCTAAAATCTGCCTCTGCCTTTTTCCTACCTCCTACTCCAATCCCTGGCAACCATTGATCTTTACTGTCTATATTTTGCCTTTTCCAAAATGCCATAATTGGAAACATAAAGTACATAGAGTATGTAATCTTTTTAAATTGCACTTTTTCACTTAATATTCACAAGTTTCCTCCATGTCTTTATGGCTCAATAACTTATTTTTAGTGCAAAATAATACTCCATTGTCTGGGTGTACCATAGTTTATCCTTTTGCCTACTGAAGGATATCTTGGTTCCAAGTTTTGGCAATTATGAATAAAGTTGCTGATAACATTGGGTGTGTAAGTTTTGTGTGGAAATGAGTTCAAATCCTTGGTAAATACCAAGCGTGATTGCTGGACTGTATGGTAAGGATATGTTTTGTAAGAAACTGCCTAACCATTCCACATGGCTGCGTTCCCACCAGGAACGTACAAGAGTTCCTGTTGCTCCAAGTCTTTACTAGCATTTAGTTTTGTCCGTGGTCCAGATTTTAGCCATTCTAAAGATTTGTGGTGTTAACCTCATTTTAATGATACAATATGAAGTACTTTTTCATATTTTTATTTGCTGTCTAACTTCGTTGGTGAAGTTTCTCATAAGCTCTTCAGCCCATTTTTTAATTGGGTTTGCTTGAGGTTATTTTTTTTTCTTTCTTTTTTTATTTTTTATTTTTTTGGTTAACAGTCCATCAGGTGTGTTCTGCAAATATTTTCTCCCAGTCTATGACTAGTGTCCTCATTCTCTTGAGCTACTATTTTAATGTCTTATAGAGCAATGATTTCTAGAACTTGGGAAAATTGAGAACAAATGAGATTGTTAAGTACATTAAGTTGTATAGTAAAAAGCTAAAGATCTGTAAAGATCTTTTAAACTTTCGAAGTGATTATTAGAATCATTCCTTTCAGTTAGGTTTTCTTTGCACATGTCCGTTAAATGAAGTTCATAGCAAATAATTAAAAATGAGCACATGTCTACTAAGTAATGTAGCAACATGTTAAACATACAAATACTGTAAATTTCTGAGTCAGTACTACGTTGACAGTTCAAAAACAAATTTATTGATACACATTGAGAAGCAAAGCCTCTCATCCTGTCTCATACTCCACTCCAAGACACATTTTAAGTAGCTACTATAACTTGGAAAAGTTGTCTTTTCCACATCATGTAAATGTTTGACTTGTTTTGACCTTGTTTGCAAAGATTTTGAAATGATTTTTGTTTATAAATGTTAGCTTTTAACTTTGAAGGAATGATGGGGGTCATTGCTGGTTGATTAGCAGTAAGATATTTTGCCTAAGTAGTTTCCATGGGTGAACAGCCATGGAAACTACTTAATGGAAAGTAATTGGAATTTGACAGTAGTTTCTTGTATTTGTACAACCTTTAAAAACATGTACATGTATAATAATACAAAAGTACCATTTAATACACAGATATTTCCACACACACAGTGGTTTCAATTCTTAAAAGAGCAGTTTTTGTGTTTTCTGTTCCAGTCCTGGAAGTAAAAGCTATTTTGTAGCATAAATGTAAGACTCCATCTTGTCTGCAAGTCAATACTACCTTCCTTTCTAGTCCAGGTAGTGATCTTTGTACCGTGCACTTCACGTCAAAAGCAAGATATATATGACATTACCTATATGATATATCAGGTTACTTTTTAAATTGGTTAATATATTTTATATTTAGTTGGTTTTGAATGTTTTCTCCTTTGATTTTGATTAGAACTATCACCACAGAACCTGATTGTATATATCTGAAATGATAATCAAGGCTGTTCAAGAATTAGGATTATCTATCAGTCTACTCAGAA